AAATATTCCCCACATTTTTCCGTTTAAGTCAATTTTCTAGCACACACCAAACGAACCCTAAAAATGCTCTTATTTCTAAAATTTGTCCCCGCAAAAAATGCACCTCAAGAACTCTTCTACTTGGAACATATTAATTTTAGTTTAAAAATATATTCTCATCTATATCCCTATTCCTTCATATAATAGACTTGATATATTTAACCACCAAATCAAGCTAAGAAGAAAAAGGATCTTCTAGCACCATTTATAATCTACTTATCAATTAAAATTTCATTTAACCAACTTCACAATCAACATTTCATTGAAAGTACCAAAGCTTGTGTATCTCATTTCCTGCTCCCATTAACTTCACCCTCATATAAAATTACTTCCGTTTGTTGGACTTTTTATTTATAGTACAAGTGGTCTTAAATAACAAATGTTTATGATATCAACTAGGATATTTCAAAGTACCTTCTCTTGTAATAACCACATGAATAACATAAGCTCATATAAATATCATAACACTGATTATTATAAGTATAATTCAAAACTTCATTCATCAGTTCCTTGATGGTTCCATCAGAAAAATAGTTATTTAATTTTAATAGCTTGGTAATACTGTGATGAGTCTTCGATATTTTTTAGCTTGTATATATATATATATATATATATAACCCTTGTTTCAATTACAAAATTACTCTGTACTGTACTGCGGAGGCATTGCCCCTGTGCCCCAACCCACTTAACGATACTCTCCCAATTGTACAAATGTTTCTGCTCCGCTCCAGCATTTGTCCCTTATCTGGTATATGAGTCATACCTAACAAGTTTCCACCTGGGCGAATATCAAGCCCTTTAGAAGAAAGATAGCATGGTGTTTCTCACTCACCAAAGTGGGTTGAGCTACCATGTTTGTCTAGTAATTGTAAACATTCAACAAGTTCAAGCAATGCATGAACTTGTTGATACTAACTGGCTTGGTCAACATATCATTTACATTCTCATTAGTATGAAATTTCTCCAACGATATCTCACTGGATGTAGTCAATTCTCTAATCATGTGATTTCTCACATCAATATGTTTAGTTCTAGTATGGTACACCTGATTCTTAGCGAGATAAATGGCATTTTGACTATCACAATGAAACTAAATTCTACCTTGTTCAATGTCAGTTCCTTTACAAACCCAGTAAGCCATAAGACTTGTTTAGCAGCTTCAATTAATATCATATACTCAGCTTCAATTGTAGATAATACCACAATGGACTGGACTGTTGATTTCCAACATATAGGCCCTCCACCAAGAGTAAAATCATACCACGTTGTAGATACTCTATCATCCAAATCACCTGCAAAGTCTGAATCCACATATCCTACAACTAAAGGATCATTCTGCTGACTATCAAAAATAATTCCATGTCCTACAGTACACTTCAGATACCTGAAAAACATACCCAGTTGTAAATACTCTATCATCCAAATCATTTGCAAAGTCTGAATCCACATATCCTACAACTAAAGGATCATTCTGCTGACTATCAAAATAATTCCATGTCCTACAGTACCCTTCAGATACCTGAAAATCCACTTGATTGCTTCTCAATGTCGCCTTCCAGGTTTAGAAATATTTTTGAAACTTGACTAAGTCATGGAGAGTACATACAATTGCATATATCAAAGAGACAACCACATAGGCTTATGGAACCTTTGTCATGTGTTCAATTTCATTATCTATCTTAGGACACTGTTCTATAGAAAGCTCAAAATAATTTTCCAATGGAGTCCTCAAAGGCATTCCTTTGGTCATCTGAAACCTGTCAAGCACTTTATCAACATAGCCTCATTGAAATACCCACAATCTTCTTGAGCATCTATCTCGGTGCATCTCCATTCCAAGAATTTTCTTTCTACGACCTAAGTCTTTCATATCAAATTCCTAGCTTAATTAAACTTTCAAACCAATGACTTCATGCATATTCTTTGCAGCAATCGATATATTGTCAACATATAGTAGTAGAAAAATAAAAGAGCCATCATCAAGGATCTTGACATAAACACAACAATCAAAATCAAATCACTTGCAACCAATCTGAATCATGTAAGATTTGAACTTCTTGTATCATTGTCTTGGAGATTGTTTTAACCCACACAATGATTTCTTTAATCTGCAAACCAGATGCTCATGTCCAGA